ATGAGATATGTATACTTCCCACTTCCCAAGGGTGAATGCAGTTGTTATAAATCACAAACATACACTGATGATAAGAAATGTTTATACAAATGAGTTCTTTTGTGATTGGAGACTGCTGAAATGTCACCTCACCATGGTCCTAAGCAACTCATCCCACTTAGAGTCATTCCCTGTTACTCCCCATATATGACTGAGTTTGGTTTTCTTGGCTGCACCTATAATTATTTGAAATTAGTCAATTTATTGAACTTATTTATTTGGTGACTGAATCCTACTGACAATATTAGACACAAAAGTGCTGTTCTGAGTGCCTGGACCCTGGACCCATGGAGGCCCCTCAGAGATTCTCTCAGCAAGTTGTGTTTGTCATCTCCAGTCACTGTGTTATAGGGAACAGGAATGGCGACATTACCATAGACCCCTGCGGTGAGTCTACACTCTCCTATGAGGCACTACAACACAAGCTGATAAGAATAAAGAAAGAAATGAGACTTAGGGAGAACTGGGTCTTGGGGAAGATTGCTGCCAAGACAAGGGGTGCCAAGGCACCCAGTATTTTATTGATTATCAGCTTGGGAAAATGAGCACGATATGCTTTGAAGACACAGTGTGAAGTGTCTGGAAGCATTTGAGTAGAAGCATCTGGCGCTGGCTGATGTGCAGACTGGGATGTAAAGGGGGAAGGCATTGCTTGTCTTGCCTGGAGAGATGGGAGGGTGCTGAGAGTGGGGTGCAGTTAACCAGAGTGTGCTAATACTGGGCAGAGACGTCTGCTACACTCCACGAAGAAATGGAGAGAGTGAGAGGCTAACTAATTGGTCCAAAGTCACACCAGCAGGGGAGATACAAATCCAGGCCATCAGGTCTCAGAACACACATCCTTCCATGTGCTCCTATTTGCCTCCAGGGCAATGTGAAGGAAAACACTTCGCGTGGACAGGATATGAAGGGCTGTTGTTTCCCTTTGTTCCCAACGGCAACCAAGAGATGTTCAAACTCCCATCCCTGGATGTTACCCATGCTGCCCTGGTGAACCAGTTGTGGCACTTTGGTGGCACTGAGAGAAGCCAGAGATTGGTTGAGTGCTGTTCCTGGTTGTTCCCCAGCTTCTGTCTGCTGGAGCTTGAGAGGACACCAGTGTCCTGGAGCCTGATGGACCACACTGGAGAACTGTGAATGGGGGCACTGGGCCTGAGTTCCGGGGCCAGGGTCTCATTTATCATACTGGCCTTTACCAGATCCAGACTCTGGAAAAACTAGGCTTCCCTCTGTATACCCACACTGATGAGGACAACTACACTGCACAAAGGTCAAGCGTCCATGTGCTTTATGTACCCATAACCTGGAAAGGGAACCAGTGGAAGTGTGAGCCTAGTAAAGCGGGCCCTGACGCAGGACACTGAGAGTGGGATGTGCATGGGCCTGTAGCTGTTGATGAGGATGCCCAGAAAAACAATAAATTGTAATGTTGAGTAGACTGAGCTCCGTGAACAGGGATCAGTGATAAACAGCTCATCCCGAGTCCTTGCCCTCAAATGGCTCACAGGTGGTCCTTCATCCCCTCAGTGTTAAGAGGGCCAGGCACCCCTGCTCCCAGCATGCTACAGCTCCCTCATTGCAGGTTGTTTGTATTGTGCTTCACTCTGCTGCATGATTTCTACTCTGCTCTCCTAGGTCACTGACTCTTCTTCACTTGCCAGGACATGGGTTCTATAACTGTTTCCCCCTCTGGCCTCCTTCAGTCTTTTTTCTTTGATTGCCTGAAGAGTTGTCTGTCTTCTGTATTGCTTTCCCAGGTAACTTCCTACATCTTATAGGAAAACAATATAAAATATATTGCATGGCTGGGGATTTAGCTCAGTGGTTCCACTGCCTGCTTTGCAAGCACAAGGACCTGAGTTCGATCCCCGGTACCAAAAAAATATATTGCATGACTATATAAATATAAATAATACATGTGAAGTATTCAAAAGCAAAGGAGTCAATAATATTTTTGTAACTGGTATTCATATCTTTTGCAAAGAGCTATCACTTGCAACTCATACCAGGGAAAAAGACTCCAGGATTTCTTCTACAGGCTGAGTTCCATTAATTCCCTCCAGATTTCCCTCACAGTGCAAGAATTCATTGTGGTGCCTTAGTATACTTGGTTCATGAAAGCTGATGAATGTAAGGACAGGATGCAAGCCTGCTCAGACCCAGGGAAGTGGTATATATGACCTGGGGCAGGGGCTGTGGGAGGCTCTGTACAGTGCTGGAGGTCAGGTGACACCTGGGGAGGTCAGGTGACAGCAGTGGGACATGCTGTGAGATCCCTGCAACCCCTGCAGTGCAAGGAGGGCTGCGTGTGTCCGGCTGATGAAGCAGACTGGCAGAGGAGCCAATCCTAAGTCTTCCAAGGAAGACAGTCCCTACAGTGCTAGAGGAAGAGCAGGTACTCAGCAGAGGAAAGGAGGAAGGGGACTGTCTCGGAGACAAGGCTTGGGCCTGTCACAGCCCAGTTCCCCAGCAGAGGAGAGGAGCAGGTGAGATTCTTGTACTTGAACACTGGCTATTTTATCACCTGCAAATCTGTCCCGATGTCATGAAAAAAGATGAGCTTGTGATACAGAAGTAGGGAGAGAATCTCATTCTGAGACTAAGGGACTGTGTGATACATAGAGGAGAGAAAGAAAAATGTGTTTCTCATGCATTTATTGGCTATTTGTACTTCCTCTTTGACTCAGTTGTCAACTATTGATTGTATTATTCTTCTTTCATTTGCAAATTTTCTTTTAAAAATATTCTGGATACTAATGTTGTGTCAAATTAATACCTCTCAAAGACTTTCTCTCAGTAAATTCATGTTTTAAAAATTCATTTTGATATGAATTTCTTATTGTATGTCCAAGTCAGTTAGAGGTCTGAAATGCAAACAATTTCTTTTTAAAAACCAAAAATGTGGATAGATCCATTTATAAACCTAGTATATTAAATATCATTTAATGACCCAAACTATATTTATAATTTTCCTATTGAAGACAAATTATCTGTAACAGTTATCCTAAATAGAAAATATTTCTTAAAACTTTAGTATTTATACTTACCATAAAATCAATGAATTAGAAGTTATACCAGGTCTTCAAAACTTATACAAAATTCTCATAATAATCCAACTTATAACTCTAAATCAATTATTCCATTATGCATTTTTAGTTAAAAGATTCTTACTTTAATAGATACAATGCTGTTGCAACTTATAAAACTATAAATTACTGTACATACTAAACTTCTCTCTCATACCAAAATATCAGAATTAGAGACCTGATTCTTTGAACATTTGCATAGTTGAGGGATTTCTAGTAGACCAGAGAGATCCATACTAATAGAAAATATCTTAAATCATCTTGGAACATTGAATCTATTGGCAGTAGATACACAGGAGCCTGAGAAGATTTGTGTCTGGGGTTGCCCCATTCTGTTCGCCATTATTATCACAAAACACCTGAGGTGCGGTAACTTTATAAAGAAGAGAGGGTTATTTAGTTTCCAGTTCTACGGGCCCACAGGCACGGCAAAGGAATCACCATGTTGAGGTGAGGATCTTGCTGTATAGGTGCATTCAAGAGTATGTGTGAAATGAGCAGAGCCATCTCCAGATAGGCAACAGAAGGGTGCTTTGAAGATCAGCTTCCTTCTAAAATGACTTTGTGTGGTGCAAACCATTTTGATTGCCTCCAAGGCAGCTCCTCCCATGACAATATCTCTCCCTATGCTCCCACTCCTCAAAGGTTCAGACCCCCTAGGATTCCGTCACACTGGGGACTAAGCCTTAACACGTGAACCTCAGAGCAAACCACAACCAAAACGGACCAATCAGGCTCTGGCCCTCAAAGTTCACATCCACTCCACAGTGCAAACTGCATTCATTCCATACTCAACTATCCCCAAATCTTCAGGGAACAGTTGAATTTGAAAAATCTCATCTGAGACTCAAGCTGAAGTATGTCAGCATGAAGCCCTATGAAGTCAAGAAATGAATTACATACCTCTAATATGCAACGCTGGGCAAAAATGGGGTTAATATTCCTACTCCAAGATAGAGAAAAGGCAAGAAGGAAGAAGCGAGCAGCCCCAAGCAAGACCAAAACCCAGAAGGGAGACCTCACAGGCTGAAGACTTGAGCCTGGCATCCTGGGCAAACAGTGGTGAAGGGCGGGCACCCATGGCTTCGGGAGCCCCAACCTTGCTGCCTGGCCAGTCACAGCCACGTGGTTATTCTCTTGGATGAGCTTTGCAGCTGCCTCCATCACTCCCTTGCACAGTTGCACATACCTGTACCTTTCTAAAGTGCCTGGTGTGGCTCCACTGCATGGCTCAGGAGGCATTACCCCGTGGTGACATCTCCCCCATTTGGCAAACTCTGGCAGGGTCTCCCAGGCTTTCCTTTGAAATCTCACTGGAAGCTGTCATGAACCCACATCTCCTGCATGCTGCCTACCTGCAAATCTGCATCATGTGGCTGACAAGGGCTACCAAGGGCAGACTTGCACCTGGCCTATTGGCAACAATGCCTGCAAGCAGGAAAAAAATCCTGAGTCCCGAAACAGTTTTGCTCTGGAAAGGCCCTGGGCATCTGATGGTGTGGGAGGACTTCTCCCTAGGTGTGGGGGTGGAACTTCTTACAGTGTAGCAATATCAGCCTCTGCCTAAGCATGTGTAGTTCTGATGTAACTCTGTTACATAAATCACAGCCAACCAGGGTGTAGAATGTTACTGTATACCCAGCCGGTTGTTAAAATGTTAGTGTATGCCCATGTAGGGGAGACAAAGATACAAAGGTTGTATGAAGGAGTGCAGCTACCCCATGTTCCGCACTCAGACTTTGGATAGGAGTCTGCTGAGTCACTGTGGGCAGAAATAAAGCTGCTTTCCTAGGGAAAGGCCTTGGTGTCCAGTCGCTCGCCAGGAAAATTCCACAGCAATGGAATGAACATCCTCAGACACTTCTGAGGTGCTCTTAAGTCCTTTCTAGTTTCTAAATTGTTAGCATTCCTGCCAGTTGCTTTTCAGCCATTTGCTTGACGAAGTTCTTCTCTCCCAAACACACACTTTCTGACATTCTGGAAGAGAAGACTAAAGGATGCACACAGACTCCCAGTTCTCCAAAATCAGTTCCTGAGAGCTAGAGGGAAGAGTTGAATGCACTGAACCCCACACCAGCCAGCAATTTTCACTTCTTTGCTTTACTTAAAAGAGCGAGTCCACAATAAGATCTTCAGTGGAGCAGCATCTGTAAAACATTTACCACATGTCCTAGCTCTTTGTGCCAGGATACTGAGAAGATCCTATTCTGGAAAAGTCTGCCTCTTGTCATTTAATCTGGAATCTCTCTCTGCGGGTACAACTTTCCAGGGGAGCACACATTTCACAAGGTAAAAATGCTGCCCTTTCCCTCACATAGCAAAGTCAGAAAAATCAAATGTTCTTATTGGTTTTTCATGGGGAAATACTAATCTATGTCATTGATCCTTATGGGAAGGGAAGGAAGGTTTATTTACTTTGAAAATTATGAGTAACCAGCGGTAGGTAACATAGCAAACATTCTTAGAACTAAGTTTTGTTTTCCTTCTGAAGAGATAATAACTATGGAGAGATTTTGAAATTTGGTGAGTGTGTGGAGAAGAAACAATATTGACAATGAATACTGATCTGGTGACATGTATTTAGCATCTATTGTACACTGACACCATTTGGCCATTCTCTTTCCTCCATGAGGAATCTTCTATGAATCACAGCTTTCTCACTGGGTGAATATTAATCAGGAAAGTGAGGCATCCATTCAAATTTGAGAAGAAATATGTAGAAAGATATGTACAAGAACACAGGCTGGATTTACTGTTGATTTAAATGATTGGAAAAAGATAGGTAGTTAAAAATATTTTATTCATACTGCTATGGCATGAACATAGCATCTAATATTTTATTTTTCCTCTAATCTTACTGTTTTATATCTTCATATTTTTTATATTTGATTACTGAATATGTATAATCAAGGATTTACATAATCTAGTGAAAGACTGCACACTAGCTTCTGTACTTCTCCTCTTCATACTTTTCAATGTGTGTGTAATGTAGTTACTTGGTTTTTGTGTCCTTAGTGCTGTGACAGACTATGACCTCATAATTTTTATTTTCTCCCCGTATGCTAGACATGAGGAGTGTGTCATGTATTTTCCTCTTAATACTGCTTTAGAAAACCATTGCAAGCTCTCATTTTCTCCACTTCGATTTTCCTGTGGAACATTTCCATGAGTGGGAAAGCTGAGTTCAAAGTCATTGTGGAGTTTGCCTCCTGAAACTACTGAAATGTTCTATTTGCATGGCCTCTTTGGGTTCCATTCTGCCTTATTAAGTGAACATCATCCTTTTGCTGTTATTTTTCATTTCTGACCAAGTGCATGCATGCTTGCACAAGAGACTCACATTGTGCATTTGAAAGTATTATTATATACAGATCAAAGAAATGTATAGACCCATGTACCTCAGAAATATAAATGAATTGATAGAAAATAGTAATAGAAAAACAAACTAATACAAAATTTAACAAATGTGACATAAAAACCTTTATATGCCATGATCAGTGACAATTATGCTGGGAATACAAACTTCATTTTACACTCTTACTGATACTCTGTTTCAAAAACACCAAAAGAAAATCCTTAACTTCCTTCAGTGAACAAAATTCAGAAAGGTGGAAAAACATAGAAGGAAACGTTTTAGAGAGAAAGCTCTTAACTTTTGGCCATTCCCATCCTCCGCTGGCATAGGTGAGGACTTTGGTGTAAGGGACACCAATAAAAGGCCCTGAAGAGAATCCCAGGCTGAGACATCAGCCCAGCGCCTGGGGCTTCAGGTCCTGGCGGCTTCTCAGAGTGGCCCTGCAGAACTTCTGTGCGGCCGGTCCAGAGTCTTGTCCTTCACAGTGACTAGAAATCTATAGCTTTCCCTCTTTTCTGCCACATATTTTAAAAGCGGCTGGTTATTCTCACAGGTTACTAATTAATGTTCCACTCCATCACGCAGATAGGAATTTTATTGGTTTAGCACTGCTGTGGTCGGGATATTCGTGCCCGGCCAGAATGAATGTGTGGAAAGCTAAAGCCCAAAGAGTTCCACTTAGGAGTTAGGGCCATGGGGAGGTGAGTAAGTCACGGAAGTGGATCCTCCATGAATGGGATCAGTGCCCTCAGAAAGGAAACGCCAGAGAGCCAGTGTGTCCCTTGCACCATGGAGAACACAGTCAGAAGGCGCCCCTGTGAGCCAGGCTCCAGCCCTGTGAGACACAGATGCCCGCTGTGCCCGCGGGAAGCACCTGTGCAGCTCCTTTGTTGTAACTAATGGAAGCCTCTTGTCCCATCTGGCTGTTTCCCTGGATCTGCAGGCCGAGATACTTGCCAAGATGATCCATTTGCAAAGTGCACAGAAGCTGCAGATGCTGGAGAAATCTTTGAGGATGGGCCTCCCTGAGTCCCTCAAGGTGAGGCTGGGATATTCTTTGGGGGAAAAAGGACTATTGGCTGCCTGTGAGAGAGCGGTAAAGCAGCCCTGATGCTGAGCATCTAGGCTGGCACGGAAAGTCCTTCACGTTGTGTCACTTCATATCCACATCACTTCTGGGAAGTGAGCTGTTTTATGCTCATATTCCAGAAGAGTAGATGGGGCCTACCCAGTACCCAAAATGAGTGGTCTCCGCTCATTCTGAATTAGTTCACATTTGTAGACATTTCCCCAGTTATATCTTTAAAAGTTTGATTTCAGTACATACTAATTTTAAAACATGCATCCATGAGAAGTTAACCACCTGTGCATTTTCTTGCAACATTTATTAGGGCAAATCCTATTACATAAAAATGCAAAAACAGATACTATGTTATCTGTGAAAGAGAACCAGAAATAATTTTAAATACTCATTACATCACTGCAGCAATATTTGTTACAAAAGTTTTGTATTTATGTATGTTTTTAAAACTTACTTTGTATTTTAAATTTTGGACAATTACTGAGTGTAGTAATTGATTTTTAAAATTTATTACCGCAAAAAAGCAGAAGTTGAATTAATAAGAGGTCAGTATAGCTTCTATGCAGTGGGGAATTCACAGGTAGAAACAGGAATGGGGGTAACCTCAGTAAGCACCTCTCAGTGTTACCTTTCTTTTTAAAAATTATTTATATATTAATTGGTACATTTTAGGTATACAATACATTTACATTTATCATTGGGTGTTTGTACCTGTACATGATGTATCTTAGTTCTTATTTTTTTCCCCATTACCTATGCGCCCTTCACCCCACCACCTTTCCCTGTTTACATAGACTTTGTTTCCATTTTTTTTCTTTCTCATAATTTTTCCTTTCCTTTTTTCCCTTTCCCCTTCCCCTCCCACCACCCTTACAGCTTTGGACCTTTTCCTATTTCAAATTATCAATTATTTGTTTTAATCATTTTCATCCTTATTTACACTTTCAGTTTCTCACACTAGAGAAACTATTT